ATCACATCCAAGTTGAAGTGGTCTAGGAAGAACTAAGGACAAACCAACAATTAGAAAACTCACAAAGGTGAGCACAGTTCTCTGGAAGACAAGAAAAAACTGGGAGTAGAGCCAAGAAAGTCAAATTAAGAGAATTCATGAAACACCAATCAGAAAGGATATATGCACCCCTATGTTCATAGCAGCACAATTCACCATAGCTAAGATTTGGAAACAGCCTAAGTGCCCATCAGCAGATGAGTGGATTAGAAAACTGTGGTACATCTACACAATGGAATACTACACTGCTTTAAAAAAGAAAGAACTCTTACCATTTGCAACAGCATGGATGGAACTGGAGAGCATTATGCTAAGTGAAATAAGCCAGTCAGAAAAAGATAAATACAAGATCTCACTCATTTATGGAATATAATGAACAACATAAACTGATGAACAAAACAGATCCAGAGACAGAGAAGCAGCGATCAGACTATCAAACCTCAGAGGGAAAGTAGGGGAGGGTGGGGGTAAGGGGGAGAGATCAACCAAAGAACTTGTATGCATGCATATAAGCCCAACCAATGGACACAGACAATAGGGGGATGAGAGCATGAGTGGGGTTGGGGGGGTTGGGGGTTAATGGGGGGATGAGGACACATATGTAATACCTTAATCAATAAAGAAATTACAGATTGAAGAAAAAAGAGAATTCATGAAAAGACTCATGAAAATCTAAATGTATAAAAGCCTAATATGCAAAGTGTCCCCTCAGGAGTTCGACCTACCAGGAGTTCGATCGCTCGCTATGACATGCACTGACCACCAGAGGGTGGCGTGGAACGAAGGAAGGCCCCAGCTGGTGGCCAGCAGCCACTAGGGACCCTACCTGTGCATGAATTTCTGGAACTGGGCCTCTAGTATTAAATACAGTGGAAAGGTCACAGGAGATGAAACTGAAAAGTGACCATTGGATTTGACATTTGTGAACTTACCATTAAGTTGCAATAGCATGTGAAAAAAAGTGATGGTTTTGCCATGGAGTGACCAAATATAAAACAAATGAGTTGAACTCACCTTGAAGGACATACATTTTGTAATATTAAACATACCATTAACCTGAATTAGATAAAATGTTAAGTTTAATATATTTTCATCACATCCTAGAAGGCTTGGAGACTTAAGTTCAGGAGCCAAGATGCTCACCATTCCTATCACCAAACTACATAAATTCCGTCATTTTGTCATACATAGCTGACCCTTGAACAAGGGTTTGAACTATGCAGGTCCTCCTTATACGTGGTTTGTGTTGGGTGTTTTTAAATAAATACTAGCAATGTATTTTCTCTTCCTTATGATTCTTTTTAATCCTCCCCGAGGATATTTTTCCATCGATTTTTTAAGTGTGGAAGAGAAAGGGAAAGGCAGAGAGAAATATCGATGTGAGAGAAACACATCCATTGGTTGCCTCCTGCAGGCTCCCTATGACCAGGGACCCAGCGGGAAGGAGCCTGCAACCGAGGTGCACGTTCTTGACAGGAATCGAACCCAGGACCCTTCAGTCCACAGGCCGGTGCTCTACCCACTGAGCCAAACTGGCTAGGGCTGATTTTCTTTCTTTTAAAAAAAAAATATATTTTATTGAATTTTTACAGAGAGGAAGGGAGAGGGATAGAGAGTTAGAAACATCGATGAGAGAGAAACATCGATTAGCTGCCTCCCACTGGGGATGTGCCCGCAACCCAGGTACATGCCCTTGACCGGAATCGAACCTGGGACCCCTCAGTCCGCAGGCCGACGCTCTATCTGCTGAGCCAAACCGGCTAGGGCTGATTTTCTTAATAACATTTTTTTTCCTCTAGCTTACTTTATTGTAAGAATACAGTATTAATACATACAAAATACACATTAATTTATTGTTTGTATTATTGGTGGTAAGGCTTTTCGGTCAACAGAAGGTTATTAGTATAAGTTTTGGGGGAGTCAGAAGTTACACAGGGATTTTCGATTGGGTGGGGCCGGTGGCCCTAACACCCACACACTTACACTGTTCCTTCAATGGCCAACTGGACTTTGGTGGGGGGCGGGGGGGGGGGGCGGTCGCGGGGAGGAGGGTCATTATACCGGACAGTTCAGTCTTCCCCGGGACTTAGCCATCCGCCATCACAGCCTTGTAATCAAACCAGTTTGGACCGTCAGCCTGTTAATCACTCTGACCATCACATTTCCAGGGCACCCGGTTCTCCTCCTCCAACCAAACCACTACTGAGATTTCTGCGCTAACTAACCACCAACCACCTCCCGGAGCCCCCGGGGGCTGCAGGCCGCCACCCGCGGCAATTCCCCCCACCTCTCCTTGCCTGGAGCGCGGGGAGCCGGCAGGGCGCTGGGCACAGGCCCCGGGAGGCTGCTGCTGCTGCTCCGGTCGCCCGCGGCCCCGGACGTGCCCCAGGGGGTGGAGGCAGAGGCCTTGGCTGAAGGGAGGCTCTGAGGGGTCTCCTGGAGTCCGAAATTGTAGCGGGGCCCTTGTGACCAAGGCTCCGCGGACGACTGGGAAGCCGCAGGGACCGAAGGCGAGGTGGATGAGATCTCCGGCCTCAGCATCCTCACACTCCGCAGGCACCGGGAGATTTCGGAAAGACCCTTAGCCCACGGACAGAGCAACGTGGCCCAGGGACAGAAGCGACGCAGGAAAAGGCGGGAGGGCAGCGCGCAGGGCGCAGAGCGGCAGGGCGCAGGCGCAGAGCCGCAGGGCGCAGGCGCAGAGAAGCAGGGCGCAGGCGCCCAGGACTCCAGCTTGCCGCATGGGCACGTCTTTCCCCCATCCGCACCTAAGTACTCCCAGTGGTTTCCAAGCCCATCACCTCCCACAGGATTTGGTTATGAGCTTTAATCTGAAGTACAGCCCTCCTCAACCTGCAGGTTATCACTTGAACGGAATTTATGGCTCACCAATGACCATTAGTTTGCCTCATTCTTCATTTCCCTCATCCCAAGGCCTAATTTAGTATTTCCCACATACTCCCAAACACATTCGCTTCTTAGAAATATGATTTTGTTGATTTTAGAGAGGAAGGTAAGGGAAAGGGAAACATTGATGAGAGAACAATCAATTGGCTGACTCCTGCACGCCCCCTACTGGGCATGGAGCCCCAAACCCAGGCAAGTGTCCTGACCAGGAATCAAACCTGTGACCTGTTGGTGCATGGGGTCAGTGCCCAACTGAGCCACACCAGCCAGGGCCACACTAGCTTCCTTTTTTTTTAAATATATTTTATTGATTTTTTACAGAGAGGAAGAGAGAGAGATAGAGAGTTAGAAACATCGATCAGCTGCCTCCTGAACACTCCCCACTGGAGATGTGCCCGCAACCAAGGTACATGCCCTTGACCGGAATCAAACCTGGGACCTTTCAGTCCGCAGGCCGATGCTCTATCCACTGAGCCAAACCGGTTACGGCTAGCTTCCTTTTAATGCTCTCATTTGATAGTACAACACATCTAACATTGGTCTTGTGGCTAATACAGGAAAGAGCCATTAACCTTACTGCATAAGCATCCACAAGACTGTTATCCTTCAACCATTAAGAAATAGGAACCAGGCAAACAATGGATCTCTCTTGGGAGAGATTTAACAACAGCTCCCAATCTCAATTTCTACTACTGTGCTTTCACACAGGTAATTTAGTTAGGAGCAAATTACAAAATTTCAAACTATATCTTCTCAACAAATAACCTTTGGGAAATTAAGTTCTGTATCTGTTCAGTTTTCATGAATATGGAAATAGTACCATAGCTTTATAGAAATTATAGGATTGAAAAAAAAAGTAAAATACTCTGGATACCATTAGATATTCCTTTAAAACATTATTGAATTCATTCAATTAACTATAATAAATCAGATATTCACAGCATAGTCCACCCATATGCAGTGGCCATAGACATCGATTCTTCAAAAATACCATTTGAATAAGCTGTTCCATCCAATGACCTCCAAGCTTTCAGAAAGACTAGTGAATTATCAAATGCTATTGGACACTCAAAAAAATCTAATGTAAAATTGACACTGATCAATGTGTTAAGTGAACCATCATTACTTGTGCCAAGCCAGTTCAGCCAAGGGTTCAAAAGGCTGAGTGAGGGCGGTGAAGGATGAAGAAATGACAGAGAAAAAGCTGAGTCTAGGTGGATCTTCCTGTGCCTGGCTGAGGCCACAGAGAGAGAGATCCAGAGGCAAGCTGAGCCTTTATTTTATAGCCAGAGGTAAACAAGGTAGTGGTCACCATAGTTACTTACAATGTTCTTGTTTCACTTGTTTTGGCAGCACTTGCTACATCTCCCTCAGCCCATTAACTTCTGATAAGATCTAAGGAGCGTCATAAGGTCAAGCCTAATTATGCCAAGGACTGTACCCTCTAAGCTGGGACTTGTTTGTGGCTTTGCCAGCAGGTCAGTCGAGGCTTAACCCTATAGCTGTGCCCTACAATTACTCATGTGGAAAACTACTCCTAAAATGACTAGTACACAAGATATTGCAACATGTTTAAAACAGATTTCAACTGCCAAGAAAAATGTTCATAGCATGCTCTCCCTCCTGGGAGTAGGCCTGCCTTTCACCTCCCATCCCTGGCACATCACTTTGACCTTCCTCACTTCTAAGCTCCAGGGACCCTTCCTTTGCATCTATAACTTATTTCCGAAGTCCATTTCTTCCATAAATTACTTCTACTTCTGTGATCTTACAAATGTTCTTAAAAATACCTTATTTTCACCAAGAATGCAAGACAGGAAATATAGTCTATCTGAAAACACATATACAAAAATATTATAGTAACTATCTCCTGTTTCCTTATTGGGAGGGTGGGGGAAGCAAACCCTTTGGTAGTCAGTAGCTGGCATTCTGACATAAAATGTTAAAAATCAGCATAAAGTGTAGCCCAGATATCAATCATATTCTAAGATGGTGAACTGTCATTTACCAAAATTACTCTGTGACCAACTCAGAATAACCATAAGCCTATGAAATAACTCCCAAATTTCAAGTTTATTTCACTTTGTGCATCTTTTAATTCATGTGGGGCATATCAATATTTAATCAGTTAACAATTTCATTGACATAGACCAATTTACATGAACTATCATTACATAACATGGAGGGAGCACATGGGAAAATCAAGTCAAATACAAGACTTCATTAACTAGCGTTATTACTCTTAGGGAAATTTAAATACATTGAAGTATAAACAAAATATTGTATTCAGAATGACAGCATTCTATAAGAAAAGCAAAAGCTGAAGATAGGCCTTTATTTTACAATATGTATACTTATATAATTTATTAAAATTATCACAATCACAACTCATATATAAAATATTAACAGTCATTTTTAAGTATGACAAGCACTTCAAAAACAGAAATTTTAGGATGACAAAATTATACTAAGCAACTTTGCATCAATGAACCTAGCTCACTAGTTCAGGCTGAATATTCATTCTCCTAAGTACTTCTTCAGGCATGCAAAAAACAGGATTAACAGGTTTAATTTGTTCTTCTCCCAAAAGTGACAATCCAGCAATTCCAAATAAAGTATGAAAAGGATCTACCTATAAAAAAATGAGAATTCAGATTATTAGAAAACAAAAACTTCTAAAACCCTGCTTCTGAACGATGGCTATAGTGGAGCCCACTGTATTTTCTCTACTTGAATATATGCTTCAAGTTCTCGTAATAAAAATGGCTTCAAATTGTGATGTTAACCATGCACTATTTTGGAAATGTCATGAGAAATTTCTGCAAACTTGTTTTACTATTCTTTGCAGTCTCAAAAATTACCAAAAAAAAGCATACTGCTTTCAAAGCAACACTAGGAAATACCATCTATTTCTAAGTCTGGAATAGCTTAGAACCACAAAAGTAATGGAAAACACTGAAATGTAATTGTTACGTGACTATGTCAGAAATGTACTTGCCATATCTCCTGGTCTGTCTGCAAATCCTCCAGTTTCTTCATCTTGACACGCTAAGATGAAACTGCGCAGTTTCTCTCGATCAATCCAATGAAGCCTTCCTATTATCTTTAGGGAAGCCAACACCCACCATGAATAGCATACATCTGGTAACTAGGAGAGAAAAAAACCACAAAGTTGCCACAATTTTTATTCTCTAGTCCACTTGGGTTGGGATGGGGAGGAATCAAGGACTATACTGACATGCAGTATTTGAAATGCTGAAATTCATTAACATAACTGCTTAGAATTAAAGAAAATCACTGGAAAAGACCAAATACTCCAATTCATAGAAAGGCATGCTATGTGTTTCAGTACTTTGTGGGGAAAAAAAGAGAAAAAAAACCATCTACTTTTATTTCTTCTGCAATGAATGCCTAACTCAGTCCCTTACTCAAATAGCTGGTAGTAAGATGAAATCTATGATGATGGATATTGCATATCCCCAAGAAGAGCATTTTCAACAAGTACTCCCCAGGTAGTGGATAGATCTGCTTAAAAATCACCTGAAGCCTGGCCCCTCAAAATACAATTTAAGAAATTCAAGAGCCCAGCTGGCGTGGTTCAGTGGTTGAGCATATGAACCAGGAGGTCATGGTTTGATTCCAGGTCAGGGCACATGCCCGGGCTATGGGCTCGATACTCAATGGGTCACATGCAGGATACGGCCAGTCAATGATTCTCTGTCATCACTGATGTTTCTATCTCTATTTTCCTTCCTCTCTGAAATCAATAAAAATATATATATTTTTTTAAAAAAGGCGCAGAAGACACCACCTGAGGCTGAATACAATCTTCAATAAGATCCTTGGGTAAATCATTCACATGATGGCCAGAGGAGAAGGGAGGCAAAAGGAGAAAAAAATGGGGGCACCTATAATAGCCAACAATAAAGAAAAACATTGTCCTACATTGTTAAAATGCTGGTTCCTGTTAACTGCCACTCCGAATTGTTTAAAGTTGCCCAGGTTTTCCATAGGACCTTAACTAGAAACCACCTGTGGTTATTTCCCTACCCCACTCACCCCCAACTTATTAGAAATATCAAGCAAACAAAAGTGATAAAAGCACTATGCACCTATAATATATTTTTAGGGTTAGGACTCAGCAAACTATAGCTTAAGTCAAATCTAGACTACCACCAAATAGTTTACATGTGTAGTTTTAAAAATGTTCGACAGAAAAATCATATGAAGCACAAAATGTACCCATAATTTTATTGCAACAGAGCCATGTCCATAATCTTACTGTCTATGGAAGCATTTGCTCTTTGGGCAGCAACAAGACCATAAACTACAAAGCTGAAAATATTTACTATCTGGCCCTTAAAGACCCAATTTAGAGCTTAATGTGTGTGATCTAAACAAAACTGAACTTAAGAAAAATTAATTCCCTTCTTCCAAATCCAAGTGTCAAAAATTAAAGGTTTTTCTTTTTTTGGGGGGTGGGGTGGGGGGAGAGATAATAAAAATATTGAATAAAAAGTTTTAGCAATTAAAAAAATATCTCTTTGGCTTGGCAAATCCATTGTCCCTTCACACCCATAAATCAACGTAGAAGAAGTTTCTACACTAGATGAATGTGTTCACTTAACAGTAGTCTGGCTCCCAGACATACACCATTTAATGCATGAATTATTCCCTGGTATATACCCAGAAATTAAAAGGTTTGAAGAATTAGCTTCATTTCAATGCCTGAGAAATGCAAGGCCTTGAGAAGGATGAGGGAGGAAAGATCCACTCAGAATTCAGATTATGTGTGAACATAAACATATTTTAAAGCTAAGAATATTTGCCATTTTTGTATTCTCCTTTAGACAATTCAAGAATTTACTTCAGGATAGGGAAAACCAAAAGACATAAACTTATAAAACAAGCATCAGAAGGCACCATGCACATCTTTTCTTCAAAAGTGTATTTTAGATACAGAGGAACTTATGCATATTACTAAGTGAAAGAAGCAATTCTATATAATGCCAACTATATGCATTCTGGAAAAAGCAAAACTAAAGTTAGTAAAAAGATCAGTGTTTCCCAGGGATCTGGGGGAGGACAGAGGGGTGAATAGGCAAAGTACAGGGCCTTTTTTTTTTCATGGTACAACAGAAAAATTATAATGAACGGAAGATAAAAAGCTAACTATCGATTTACAAGAGCAATATTAAAAAAGTTAAAATAAAACAGCACTCACTAAAGTTATAAAGCTGTTAGAACACAATGTATCTTCTGAAACAATACCTTCTCTGGCCTTCCATTCAGTCCACCTGAAGGTAACTGCCGTTCACAAAGCCACCACCCAAGTAAATCAGAGTTTACTTGGTGCAACTGATTAGTAATAGCCAGGAATCCTGTGCAACAATAGATCTAAAATTACAGACATAAAGTACAGGTGTATAATAATCTGCAATAAGTGATAAAAACTACTCAATTAAAACTCCATTTTATGTCTAAAAATTTCCTGACAATTGAACATGGAAATATCACATAATTATTTGGAAAAAAAAAAAAAACAGAAAAAAAACACCTAAGCATACTCAAATAGTATTCACCTAAGCATACTATTACTAGGATCAAATTTTGCAAAGAAATACTATTGTCAAAAGTTCTCTATGACTAAGATACTATTTTATTTCACAACTATTTATATGTATACAATGTTCTCTGGCATAGCAAATATAGGAACAAGCTGCTTTCAGTTATTTAGTTAAAAACTAATGGAGCCCAGGCCAGGTAGCTCAGTTGGTTAGAGCACTGTAATCTGGATACACCCAGGTTTGAGGTTCAATCCCTGGACAGGGCACATAGAAGAATCAACCAATGAATGCAAATCAGTTTCTCTCTCTCCCTTCCTCTTCCATATATATATATATATATATATATATATATATATATATATATATATATATAAACACTAATGGAAAATCAAAATGTATTTTTGGTGATTATAAACCTACTTATGTTTGACTGGGTCGGAGTGTTTCACCAGCAGGTGAATGTACATAAAGCAAACTATTGTAAAAAAAAATAAAAAGGCCTTCCTTAATCAGCAATTAATCAACTATAATGTAACATCCCACATTATATTACCTTTGGTCAAATTAACTTCACTCATATTTAACAAACACTAAAATTGCTATTAACATATTTTAATCTGCATTAGTGAATTACCTGCCCAGCATGGGACTCAGAACCTGGCCTACAACCAAATCCACCATCAAAGTTCATACACGATAAAACAAATTCAATTGCCTTTTCCACATTAATAGCATCCAGCTTCCCCTATAAACAAACAAAAAACAATGCCTATAAATTCCAGAGTAACCATGGGCACTAATTAATTCCAATACAATAGTCATAACTTACCAATAGAGCCAAAGTTGCCACAGCACAAAAAGAGAATCTTGTATCAATTTCTCCTAAAAATAAAAGGAATCAAACCAAAACTTAAGTGTTACTATACGCTTCAGATCATAACATACACAAGTTATTCTGTACAATTACTATGGTTAAAACTTAAAATTTACTTGTAGGTCTCCAGAAGGAAAGCTAAATCTAAAGTGAAATCATTTTACTTCTAAGAAAACTAAGATCTAGAAAAATGCTTTGACAAAATACAGCAAATTATCTAGAGTTGTTTACACAGTACCCAGAGAGGGAAGGTAATAATTAACAGAGCCAAAAGGACTAGTTAGTTTCTAATAATAATGAACTTACCCTATTACATATAAGTAGATTTTCACATCCCATGAAGCAGCTGGTCTCTCCGGCCTGCACTGTATTCAGCCCTGAAGTAGAGATTATCTAATTTATCAAGTAAAATACTATTCCCTCCCTCCACTCAAATACTCAGTAAGTTTGTAAAGTTTTTATCATCTTTCCCTTGCCAGTAAGCAGTTTTTTAAGAACTTTACAAACCCACCAAATATTGGGGGGACAAAATTTCACCTACCTTATCTTTTAGACTGACCCCCTCTGTTCCAGTGCTCCTGTAGGCTGACATAACTAGCTCAGTGCATGCTGGAACTTCCAGCAGACTATTAACTCCAGTTAGACCAGCTGCTTAGTGGGACCTGAAAAGATGAAAAACTTTTTAAAAAACTTCTTATAAATTAGCAAAGTCTCCAATTAACTGTACTTAAAAATATGCAGCAAAGCTTATTACAATAAACACCATAACATTTTAAGATTGGTATATTTGGTAGAATGAATTAAAATGACATTACCCCAAATATCTCCAGCAAAAGAACCATCTTCTTTCTGTAGACTCTGAACATATTCCACAACTTTATTTACGTCAATAACATTAATACTATCATACAGAGTAAGAATCTGTAACAAAAAAAAGTTAAATACATCTTCAACCCTAATTGATTCTAATGTTCTTCTTCAACTGTCTTTTAAGTCAAGCAAGCATGTCCTTTTATCTAGGAATATTATAAACTTTTCTCAAACATGCAAAGTATCTTCTATGCAATAAAATTATAGGTATTAAAATCCAAACTTCTAAAAGCATTTTTTCTACATATAAATTATAACTTAAAATTTTAACTCTTAAATAGTCTAACTTATGTAGACTTTAAACCCTTATTTGTGGGATCTTCAATATGAAAATTAAAACATTTAATGCCACCTTGTGATTTCCCAAATATTTACATAACTAAACCTTTTACCATCCAAGGTCTCAGTGTAATTTAGAATTTGCATCAACTTTGAATTCAGCTAATACATGCCATCACATCATTGACCTTGTTAAAAAGACTTCATTTGCAAAACTTAGGGTAACTTTTTGACATACTCATTTTATTACTTTCCTGGTTTCAAATTTCCCCTCAGGTTAAGAGCATACACTACCAAGATTGCCAAATTTTAATCAGTATTTACCTGGACAGCACTCAGAGTGTACAAAAGATGAGGATCATGTCCAATACTAGCACTTATTCCACCACACTCGTGTTGACATGACTTAATAAATGCCAGAATTTCTTCTTTATTCATGCGATTTAGTTGTCCCATGAGATCCATTACAGTCAGACCCCAATAGACGCCACTCATTCTCAAGTACTCAGACATACAGTACTCCTAAAATACACAATTACTTTAATGTGTCAGTTTGAATTCATGCTGGGTCAGAAACCAAACATATAAACATTTAATCCTATCAATGATAAGTTTAAATTTGTGGCTCTCAAATTTGGGGGACAGAAGTTCCACTATCTGAGAAGCGTATGATAAACTCACTTGTGACTGACCAAACAGGGCTTTAACCAGAAGAGTAAATGAGAAGACCTACTTTTTTTTAAGTTCGGGGAGAACATTTCTTTCAGAGTACCTACATCGTATTTAATGACTCCATAATGACATGGTTATGGGAACATATTACTTTAAGTCAAGAATTTATCAATACTAGGTATTTTCCATGGTAATCCAGCTGTTGAGACACTAAAGGGAAAAATATTTACTTTCAGGTGAGCTGCTCACTACTTTATTCAAAGATCGTCCCAGAGAAAAATTATTCTATAATGTTTAAAACTCAAGGTAAAAGTTTTTCAAGGTCTCAGAGTAATTCTAGAGCTAGTGTTATTACACATCAGCTGTAAATTCAGATAATACATGCCAACACATCATTGACCTTGAAAGTATTGCCTCAACTACAAAAGTAGAAATTTATTCTGTACTTCAAACCTCTTAGAATGGGCCATAAATACTGACCCACTGACTGCTTATGGAGAATAGACTTTGAAACTTTCAACATAAAACCATACATACATAATCATCTTTCTTTGAGCCATAGGATGCAATATAATCTGCATGCTTCTCCAGTAAGAGGGTGTCAGGCGCATCTGACTTGATGGTAACATCCTTCTGTGGTGTGCCCTTTCAAAATTAAAAGTAGTGATTTCATAAACGTTTACCTTTCAATGTCTGACCCCAGGGCACATTCAATACACCTCGGAACTTGAAGCCCTTGTAATGATTCAGGTTATTTTTCAGGTCTCAGAGTAATTCTAGAGCTAAAGTAGTCGTAATCAACTTTAGATTCAGAATACATGCCGGCTCATCATAGACCCAAAAAATGACCTTTATCGATTGCTTATCTTTCCCTTAAAGAGTAAAATAATCGCTGAAACCGGTTTGGCTCAGTGGATAGAGCGTCAGCCTGCGGACTGAAAGGTCCCAGGTTCGATTCCGGTCAAGGGCATGTACCTTGGTTGCGGGCACATCCCCAGTGGGAGATGTGCAGGAGGCAGCTGATCGATGTTTCTCTCTCATCGATGTTTCTAACTCTCTATCTCTCTCCCTTCCTCTCTGTAAAAAATCAATAAAAATATTTAAAAAAAAAAAAGAGTAAAATAATCACCACGGAGTATCAACGCTCACAAATTCAGGGCAAGTTATGGTTTACATGTGGCAATAAGCAAGCAGATGCATTAACATACCTAACTGGACAATAACTTGCAATTGTTATTTAATGCAATTTTATTAATCTAGAAACTCGGTTTCAAAGCACTTTCTACGCACCCAAGTTATTCCATTGCTTAAGCAGTCCCTTTAGCCCTATGCTCTCCAGCTTTCGTCAGTTTCTGAATTTCTAACAAGCCCCCAGGTGATGAGAATGCTGGTCTAATTCTCCCCATTATCTAGAACTTCGTGACTGACACTGAATTGTATTCATTTTTAAGTAGGTCATGACGATTACTAAAAAGAAGTTAGTGCCCTGACCGGTTTGGCTCCGTGGATAGAGCGTCGGCCTGCGGACTCAAGGGTCCCAGGTTCGATTCCGGTCAAGGGCATGTACCTTGGTTGCGGGCACATCCCCAGTAGGGAGTGTGCAGGAGGCGGCTGATCAATGTTTCTCTCTCATCGATGTTTCTAACTCTCTATCCCTCTCCCTTCCTCTCTGTAAAAAAATCAATGATATATTTTTAAAAAGTTAGTAAATTTCTTCCAAATTCCATTTAAAATTTACCACCTTACCAGTCACGATTCTGAAGATTGAGCCACTAAATACATATGTATAGAGAAGGAAAAAAGCAGCGCCTACGTGGTCTGGTTTTGTGGGATTAAAAAATCGGGCCTTTGAATCCCGAGGCCCGCCCGACAGGAAGCCTGCAGAAAATGACAGGCGGCAACCGCGCCCGCGAGGTCTGCAGGAAACGCTGAGGAATATTTCATTTCAGCCTTTCTGAGCTCTCAAGAAACCTCCCAAGGCCCGTGGCTTAACCTAACCATCCTCCAACACCTGCTAAGCCACACTACAATCACTGAGCGGCTAAATACTACGCTGTGCGGCCTCCTCCCCGACCCAGCGAGACTGCAGCGAAAAGCGCAGCCACACTCACCATGTCTGAGAGCGAAAAGAGAACTGAGCCCGTGGGAGGGTGTAGTTAATAGGCTCGCGCATGCGCAGAGGCACCCCTCAGGTCCCCTCCGCCGCCCGACATAGTTGACTAAGCTCCCGCCTGTCCCATTGGCTACACTAGGACCCCACCAACTGCTTATAGCTGTCTTTGCTGCCTGTGCTCAAAGGCTTTGCCTCCCCCGCGCCACCACCACCCCACCACCCCTGTTTACTAATCTCATAATCCTATCGTTTGGTCTAAAATAGTTTTAAGTAATACTCTCTCAATTACTTTTTTAAAAAATATATATTTTATTGATTTTTTTACAGAGAGAAAGGGAGAGGGATAGAGTTAGAAACATTGATCACCTGCCTCCTGCACACTCCCTACTGGGGATATGCCCGCAACCAAGGTACATGCCGTTGACCTGAATCGAACCTGGGACCCTTAGAGTCCGCAGGCTGATGCTCTATCCACTGAGCCAAACCGGTTATGGCTCAATTACTTTTTAAAAAAACTCTTTTCCCCCAATTGACCTCTCTCCCACCCACCCACCACCCATCCCCGCTAATCCCCCCTTTAAGACATCATTTGCTCCTAAGGCTCTTTGAACTCTGAAGATCTGAAATGGCTAGTGCTTAGTAAGTTCTTGCATGCAGTAAGTGTTCATTGTTTGCGGTGACTATTAATGAAATGTTCCTGTCCCCCTCCAATTTGCCTTGTCCATTCAGGGTCCAGCTCCTCACTTCTTCAGGAAGTGCTAATAGCAGAAGTATTTGTAAATTACTTTAGAAAAAGGAAACATCCCTAAGCCTTTTAAGAATTTTCCACAGAATTCATATTTGTTGTGCTTTCTTAGGTCTACTACTTAAGCATTTTTGAGCACTCATTCAAAAAAAATTGGCACGCCCTCCCATGAAAATGCATTGCATTTGTTAGGGTCAGAAATATAATATTGGGGACTAGCTATTAGTTATAAGAAATAAAATGAGAACTATTAATCATGCTCTGTTAACCATGATGGTTTTGTTCTGATTAAAGAAAGCGCATTCCAAGCTGACTGGAAATTGTATGCCCTGGGACATGGGAGCTGACATTGGCATGCAGTCCATCCTCCTGTCTTGAGAACTGCCTGTCATGGAAAGATTTACAACCTCCTGGCTGAAACAATCTATTCCTGGAGGCACCTGTTCTTTGCAAACCCCAGCCCCTATTACCTGTAATCTAGTCCGACGGCATCCAGAGGTACCTGCCTTCTATGACCACCTACCTCCCCACACCCCAGTCCACATGACTTGTAACCTGTAATGATCATCCTGTGCCAATTTTCCCATACCTGTAATTCCCACTTTCCCACATAATCTTTGTCCTTCTACTCAATATAAGCAGCTGGCTTATAGTGGGGTGCAGAGCATATTTTTGTGGATGACCTGCAGCTCTCCCATACTGCTGGCATTATTGGAATAAACGCTCATATATGATTCAACCATGTCTCTGCTTAGTCGGCTCAAGTCGTGACAGGCAGCCCGGAGCCCTTGGTTGTCAGTTTGCACATTCAGTAGCGATTTGGAGAAGGGTTCTGCACAGTGACATCCATAACTGAGAATGTTGAATCAACAATGATAGCTTTCATTGTTCCTCCCTTTAATTTTGTTGATATTTCCATTTATAGTTTGAGGCTCCATTATTAAATGCATGCAAGTTTATAGCTCTCTATTTCTGGTGATTTTAGCCTTTTGTCATTAAATCAGATGTGGGAGGAGTGACCAAGGGAGAGGGGGCAGTGTTCAGATCTCCTTGGTAAAGCAATGTTTAAAATAAGAATAATACAAGCATCAGATCCAAAGAGTAAGATTAAGATCGAGTCAATAATTGCTGAAGGAATGAAAAATAAGCCACAATTCCTATTTTATAAATTTATTCAAAAATATGTATTGGATGCCAAATATTAACCTAGGTTCTGGGAAACAATGGTGAACAAAATGGAAATATTTTTAGGTGTGGGTGACCAGACTGAAGGGGGCCTTTTGCCTGTGCTCCTCAAAGCCCAATAAGATATGAACAAGAGTTTGCAGCCAAGAAAGTAAAGATTGATTCAGGTGCCATACCTGAAGTCCCAGGTAGCTCATACTCAAATACCTGGCTTTCTGATGGCTTCTAGAGGATAGGTTATAAAGGGAAACAATCATTAATCATGGTGACTAAGGGAGTTAGGGTCCTGGTCAGGGTCCTGGCCTCTACTGATTGGTCAGCCCTAGAGTGGTGGGGGGGCAGGGGGGGTAGTTGATCACTGCATCGGGTCCTGATGTCAACCATGGCATTACTGAGTCTGGTTTCACAAGCATGTGGTCAGTCAGTGGGGTTGTTCTGGAGCTGAAACTCAACTGAGGCCTAGATGTTTTCTCTAGTTTGGCCAGTTTCTCTGTGGTCAACAAACCTGAGGCTTTGTTCCTAAAACTACTGGATGCTGACCAGAACCTCTTTGGCTTAATGATTAAGCAAGGGAAAGGGAGGGAGGTGAGTCAGGGTTTTAGGTGAGGCCAGTTCAAGGCAAAGGAAAAAAAGGGGGGAGGCAGATTAAAGAAAACAAGGTTTCTGTGTGTGATTACATATAAAGCATCTGTTCTAGCAATTCTTGTAATAAATTCAACAATTCTATTTCTAAGTATTTCTCCTACAAATATACTCGCCTGGGTATGAACTTGTGGCAGAATAGTAAGAACCTAGGGAAATTCCTGGGCAAGTGGAATAGGGAAACTGAGACAAGAAAATTAAACAAAGCCAAATAGTTTGGGCAGCTTGCAGCCAACTTGTGAATTGAAAGACCTTATCTTCTCCTACCAAGAACACTTGAGAGGAAGTGGTTAATATCTCTCCTCCTTAGCTGAAAAATACATAGCTTAAATCACCCTGGAACTGCTAAGGCAGAAGGAGAAAAGGGGGAAGGGAAAAAAAAGGGAATTTATCTCACACTAAATAAAGAAGTCAGCTGCCTTAGGATTTGCCATACAAGACATCTGGTGTTTGTACAAGCATCCTAAAATAAGCCACAACAATGTAGCCCAGGACTTTGAAACCTAATCTGCTACCCAAGATATCTGGCAGAGGAACCTTGAAACCTATAGGGAAAAAGGGAATAAAACCCTTTGAACCCCCACTGGGCATGTGCTCAGATTAGCTGGGTGGTCCACTTTTGCTATATGCTAAATGTCCTATCTAATAAAGAGGTAATATGCAAATTGACCATCACTCCAACACATAAGATGGCCACCCCCATGTGGACACAAGATGGCCAGCAGGGGAGGGCAGTTGTGGGTGATCAGGCAGCAAGGGAGGGCAGTTGGGAGGAACCAGGCCTGCAGGGGAGGGCAGTTGGGGGGAACCAGGACTGCAGGGGAGGGCAGTTGGGGGGAACCAGGACTGCAGGGGAGAGCAGTTAGGGGCAACCAGGCTGGCAAGGAAGGGATATTAGGGGTGACTGGGCCAGCAGGGAAAGGCAGTTGGGGGCGACCAGGCTGGCAGGGGAGGACAGTTGGGGGTGACCAGACTTGCAGAGGAGGGCAGTTGGGGGTGAACAGGTCTGCAGGGGAGGGCAGTTATGGGCAATTGGGCTGGCAGGGGTGGGCAGTTAGGGGCAACCAGGCTGGCAAGGGAGGGAAGTTAGGGGTGACAGGGCCAGCAGGGATGGGCAGTTGGGGGCGACCAGGCCTGCAGGGGAGGGCAGTTGGGGGTGACCATGCCTGCAGGGGAGGGCAGTTAGGGGCGATCAGGCCTGCAGGTGAGGGCAGTTGGGGGCGACCAGGACGGCAGGGGAGGGCAATTAGGGGTGACCAGGCCAGCAGGGGAGGGCATTTAGGGGCAATTGGGCTGGCAGGGGAGCAGTTAGGCATTGATCAGGCTGGCAGGGGAATGGTTAGGGGTGGTCAGGCTGGCAGGCAGAAGCGGTTAGGGGCAATCAGACAGGCAGGCAGGCGAGTGGTTGGGAGCCAGCAGTCCCAGATTGTGAGAGGGATGTCCGACTGCCCATTTAGGCCTGATCCCACTGGGATTAGGCTTAAACCGGCAGTTGGATATTCCTCAAGGGGTCCCAGATTGGAGAGGGTGCAGGCTGGGCTGAGGGACACGCCCACCCCATGCGTGAATTTCGTGCACCAGGCCTCTATTATTTTTAATAAATTTGCTTGCTTTGCTTCAACACTGCTGTCACTTGTCTGAAAACTTTCTTAGGAGACTGACAAGAACTGAGGAGGGGACAGCTCTCCCTCTCCAACTAAGGGAGCTGTACTATAACAAAGTAACTTATGTGCAAGAATTTTAAGCTGCAGTTTTTTGCAATAGCAAAAGATTACAAATATTTTAATTAATCATCAAGGGTTATATAAACTATGGTATATTCATTATGCAGCCATTAAAAAGAATGAGGAAGCTCTGCATACATTGCTTTGGGAAGATCTCCAAAATAAATTAATTGAAAACAAAACCAGAAAGTGCTAAACTACATATAGTTTGCTACTATTTGTGTGGGAAACAAAGGAAAATTTATGTGGATATACTTGCACATGCACAGAATTACTAAAAGTAGTTGCCTACAGAAGGAGAAATGGCTGACTGGGAACAGGATTTAAAGAAGGCTGACCTTTCACTGAATATTCTGGTACTTTTGAAATTTGGTATGTTTTTGCCCCTTCAAAAAGTAAAAATGTACCCCCTGCCAAAGAAAGGTAACTACAAAAAACACACACAATATTGATTAAAAACAAATTCATCTCCACCTTAAGACCTTCATTGACCAATATAACCACATGGGGCTCTTGAAATGTGGCCAATCTGAATTGAGATATGTTTTAAGCATAAAATACACACCCCTATTTCAAAGACTTAGTAGTAAAAATAGTACAAAATATCTCATTAACAATTTAAAAGTATTGATTGTTTAAGTGATATTTTGGATATATTAGGATAAATAAAATATATTCTTAAAATTAACTTCACCCTTTGTTATTTACTTTTTTAATATGTCTGTATGTGAAG